TGATCACTTCAGTATTACTCATATTGCAGTTTGAGATGCCTATAGAATATAACAACATTCACTGAGCACTGTAACACCCATGTTCTAAGCTATGCATCTTATATACATCAGCTTATTGAATCCTTACAAGGACTCTATGAGGAATATACTCGTGTTATTCCTATTATAATACTGAAGCAATTGGGATTTAGAGAGGTTAATCAACTAGCCCAAGTCAATACAGAGCCTGTATTCAAACCCGGGTCTATTTTGCTCATTTCCTACATGTGTCCCCTCCACAGCATATTACTGCGTACACAGGTGTGAGGGTCAGAGCAGAGTTCCAGTCTAAAGAGATAAAAGCTGGCATCATTAACAGCTGGAACTGGTTAGTGACATTCACAACAATGATATTAGCTAACATGCACTGAGTATTCTCTATGTGCCAGGATATTTTCTACATGCTTTACGCTATTTAATCCTTACAGCAACCTTATAAGACAGTGTATAGTTTCCGAGGGCCACGTGAACAAAGTTCCATAAACCAAGTGGCTTAAACAACAGAAATTCGTTATCTCAAGTTCTGGAGGCCAGAAGTCTGAGATCGAGGGGTCATCAAGTTCGGTTCCTTCTGTGAAGAAGAATCTGCCACACACCTCTCTCCTGGCTCCTGGTGTTCTACTGTCAATCTTTGGCATCCCTTGGCTTATAGCTGCATCTCCCCAGTCCCTGCTTTCACCTTCATGTGGCGTTCTCCCTGTGTGTGTGTCTGTCTCTGCATCCAAATTTCCTCTTTTTATAAGGACACCACCAGTCCTATTAGATGGGGCCCACCCTAATGACCTTATCTTAACTCGATCATCATCAAAGACCCTATTTCCAAATGAGGTCACCTTAGCAGGTATTAGGAGTTATGACTTCAACATCTTTTGAGGGGACACGATTCAACCTCTATGTCGCAGATGAGGAAACAAAGGGAGATAAGTAACTTGCCTGAGGTCATGAGGCTAATGCACTGGAGAGTATAAAGTGTGAGAGAAGGAGCCCTGAGATAGACCCCACCCCATGCAACTCCTACCTGCAAGAGACAGACATGAGACCCCACTCCTGTGACCCCCGTACACCAGTCCAGACTAAGGGAAACAAATTCATAGGCTTGTCAGTGGCCTACATGGCATAAAAGTGGTGTCTGAACAGGGGTGCCTCACCCTGAAGAGTGACGGATTCAACTAAGCAGGTTCTCCTTCTGGAGGAGAAACAGAAAAACAATAAGAGCAGTTAATGGTGGGAGCGGAAATGGAAAGACATTTAGAAAAGCCAGGAAGTATTAGAAAACACAGGCAAGAAGCAGCCCAGAATAAGAAGCAGAAGCCAAAGGTAAGAAGAAGAATGGAGAGACGATGATGGCCGAGGCAGCAGACGCAGAGGCAGAGAGCATCTGAGTCATCATGGCATCAAAGGGAAGCTGCGTTGGTGGGACAGGGAAGGGGACCCGGCTGTGAGAGCCACACCGTCCCTGCATTGGGCACTCCAGTTCTTGTACTATCAACTACCTTCTCGTTTTCAGGCTACAGGACCACTCTGTGAGGTCGAGATGCCCACCCACGCTTATTTTTTCTTTCACCTCTCATTGTATTTTCGTTTTCTACAACCTTAAAATAATCTAACTCAAGTATCCAGAGAGGCAGGAAAAAAAAAAAATTAGTTGAATGTCATATCATTCTACCTAATGGAAGAGAACGTTTCATACAAATGGTCGATTGTATCAAATGTTACAATCCGATAAAGGAGCGTGTAAAAGAAAGATCAAGTAATATAAGTACTTTAAAATTAACAGAGATTTGCTAACAAAAATGTGAGAACTCAGTGAGTGGAGGCAGAAGCCAGGTTGCAAGGAATGATGAAATGCATGGGAGGTAAGGCCAGAAAGACAGCAGTGTAAACCACACTTTTAAGTGGTTCAGCTGTGAAGAGGAAGAGAGAGAAAGAGAAATAAGGCTCTAAGTCGAAGTGGTTTTGGAGCAAGTGATTTTCTTAAAATGAGACAGATTTAAACATCCTTAAATGCTGATGGAAATGAGCCACTAACTAAGATGAGGTTGAAAACATTTGAGAGAGAAGAAAATAACTATTAGAACTAAGCTGAAGATGCACATGGCCAGGGAGAAGAAATAACCTGAGGTGGGAAAAGGCAAAAAGATAAGATTGGGTGTGGACACATATCAGGCTATATTAGGATCTGATATTGAAGGTATTTCCGGTAATGGCTTCTATTTTCTGGGTGAAATAGGAGATGAGATTATCTGCTGACAGCGAAGAGGAAAGAGACACGGGAAGAGCCTCAGGGCAGAGAAGAATATTTGCAATAGTCATTTTGGAAAATGGCAGTCAGGTCTAACCAGGAAACAGCGAAGGATTACCAGTTAGCACGGAGGGCTCAAATGAGATCAAAGGCCATGAATCTGGAATGCAACGTAGCTGATTTTATGGCATGAAGTGGACAGAGCCTTCCTAGTCAAAGGTTATGCAACCATGAAATGCTTCCCCAGTGAAAATCAGACTCCATCTCTAAGTGCTAAGTAGTGTTATAACATTAGTTATATAGACATTCTTTAACAGCTTTTCAACCCACCACCCCTTAACCTTGAATCACTCAATCTAAGGTAAAATCGGAAATTCAGACAAATCAGGTTTAAATTTTTCCCCCTAGCTGAGATACTTTATGAGTATATTTAAATGTCTTGGACAATGACCAGAATAATAACCTCAGTACCCATCACTACTCAAGTGTATTTGGGAGAAGAGTTAGTGTTGAATATTTTAAAACTCTATTTAGAAAAATCGCATCAACCTAACTCATTTTATTGAACAACATAAAATATACATGGATATTATGGAAGAACAAAATCTAACAAAAATGTGAAGCTGGCTTGCCAATTCTGGAATGAACGCCACAGAGGGAAAGCCGACGACCAACTGGCGTTTTAACAAGGAAAGAAATGGCTTTATCAAAGGGATTTGCAATTTGTCCAAATGACAAATAGTTAACGTGCATATGGGTTATTTATATGGATAGAATTTCTTTCTTATCTCATAAACCCTTTCTATCAGAAATCTCTAAGGATTATAGTCAAACATTTTTAATAATTCTAATATGTATTAAAGATCATTGTATATATGCTTGAGTCATATCTTGGGAATATTATATAAACATATATTTGGAAAAACAGACTGTGGTTTTGTATAATAAAGAAAAACTACAGTACTAACCATTATGGATCACTTTTAACATCTTATATGAATCTAGAAATACAAGTGATAAGTCAAAAATGGAAAAATAATGTTTTGTTTTTAAAGTAATGTTGTGAAATGTACCTTTGAACAGGACAGAAAATAAATTTACGGAGGAAATAAATCAACTTTATTAAAGACTATATTTGGAAAATAAAAGTAGAATGTATAAAAATGACCCTCCCACCCCCCAGCGTCCCACTGTGACTGCTTCCCATGGCCTGAGTGAAGCACAGACTCTCAGCAACTTCAACCTCCAGAGACTCAAAGGCGATGTCACCTCTTCCACCCTGGCTGAGGCCAGGTCCAGAGCAGCAGCCACTGCATTAGGAGCACATGAGGGGACCTAAGAGACTGCAGATCTCCCTCCCCTGGGAAAATCCGAGGCTGCCTCTGCTGCCTGTTGCAGGCCCAGCTCTGGTCCTCGGTCAGGGATGGACAGTGTGCTTACTCAGTTGCAAAACACTACTTCATCCTCTCCCGGCGCAAGGAAGAGAAAGCCAGGCAGAGGTGGCCCATTCCCAGCAGCCATCCTTGGTCATTCTCCTCGTGTGGTCTGTCATCCCACCTCTTAGTGTCACACTCACTTCCTTTCTTCTGCAGTTTTCATTTTCTCTTAATGTTTGATTTTAATCTATGTTTCCCTCTCCTTTAATTAGACACCACTGCTTTTTTCAAGGAAATGTCAAGGAAAAAAAGTTTTTCACATGACAGAAATAAGATAATCGCCCAGAAGAGTAACACATTTTTGTCAGTGAAGTGAAAGATATAATTTCCTGAAAAAAAAATATTTGTGAAATAGAAATTTAAAAGGCAGAAAGTGAGAAAAATTCATAATAAAATCTCTATCCTGAAAAGATAATCTTGCTGCGAATGCATTTGAAATATTGGTGAATAAAACTGTATAGGGTTTCTTCGTCTTACAGGTTTCATGTTAAAGGTAGCATTTTTAAAATACTAAGGTCAGCCCTGTTCAAACATTAAAAATTACAATTGAATGTGATCTGGCAGCAATATTTAAAACAGGTTAAGTTCTTTATAGCAGGGGTCCCCAACCCCCAGGCCATATAGCCTGTTAGGAACTGGGCCACACAGCAGGAGGTGAGAGGCAGGTGAGCAAGAGAAGCTTCCTCTGTATTTGCAGCCGCTCACCAGTGCTAACATAACCACCTCAGCTCCACGTCAGATCATCAGGCATTAGATGTTCATAGGAGATGGGTCCCTGGTGCCAAAAAGGCTGGGGACCGCTGCTGCAGGACCTCAGACCATGCATGTTTTATACAAATAATCGGGTGTGCTGCTTTTTAAAGAAATCACATAGGTTATACTCAGAAATCTCAGTTACTTTTGGACTTCATTTCTTGACCATATGGATGTTTTCTTTCCTTTATGCAGGCAATTTTCACCAAAATCACAGGAATTCAGGGAAACTGGAGGATGGCAGAGTAGCAGAGAAGACACAGCCTTTGATAGAATCAACATGGTGTGCATCCTGGTTCTGTCACAAACCAACTGCACTCCTGGGTAAGGAACACTCTCACTGTTTGTAAAATGGAAACACTAATGCTTCCCAATGTGGTTATTACGAGAATTAACTTGGAGAGTAAAGCCCCTGACTCGTAACAGATACCCCATTAACGTTAACCTCCGTTCCCCATTCCTCATTCTAGGTATGCAGCCTAGTGGAATTCTTCTGGGTCCCACAGTGTTAGCAAATGAAACCAGAGGTGTTTTTAGTGCTGAACATTTATCTACGACTGGCACCTTTGAGATTCTTTGTTGCCAATGATGGATTCTCGCTCTATCACCAAATATATCACATTCACACACTGATCAAATTTCAAAGGTTTGAGGAATTTGTGTCCCATCTCTCAGCTCCACATCCTTCAAGAGATATGGCGTTCAATGAAGAAGTTTCAAGTGGCCTTGTGGGTGCCTATCTTGCCTGGTAGTCGCATCTTTGAGGCAAGCACAGGTGACAAAGTGATGTCGATGTGAATGAATCAGTCTTTCAAGACATTTGATGATTTCATAGTCAGGAAGAGCAAGGCTAGACATGTTTAAGCCCAGCATCTGGGAAACCACCTCCCTGAAGTCCACCAGCTAGAAAATCAAACAGAAACACATTAACTGAGAGAACAAATGTATCAGCCACTGCGAGGCCAAAAGCAACAATAGCAAAAAAAAACGAAAAACCTGGGTGTGAATGAGATACGTAAGTTACTCTCTTTAGCCTTACTTCTCTCACTTATAAAATAATAAAGCTAGCCTACTAAGTTACCTCTAAAGTCCTTTCAGGCACCGACCTTTGGCGACTCCAGAACCATTTTTCTGATGAGCCACTCAATGTGGTGTCGGCTACCAAGTCAATAATCCCAGTTAAGCAACTGAGAACGAGACTCTGACTTCACTAGGGTTTCATCTTCTCACTTCCAAGGTGGGAATGACCATATACCTACTTCCCAGGGCTGTTCTGAAATCCAGGTCAAAAGAAATGATGGCCGTGCACGTGCCTTGCATACTAGCAAGTGCTTTACAAATGCTGGTGTGATCGTGCCCATGCTTGATAAGTGCTTATGCACTGGAATGTTAACTGGACGACGAACCTCTTAAGCGAAAGGAAGAGCAAATGGCGAGAAACTATGAGCTGACAAAAAGAGGAGGACTTCTAAATGACGCTCAAATGACATCACACAGACTGCCACCTTACAATCCATTAACACCGAACTCTCTGAGACTACAATCACAAAAGGAAAAATGGGTGTGAGGGGAGAGGAGGTGAGGACTGGAGACAGTGGTTGGAATGTGCCTCACACCCCTTTGAATTCTCCTGGACTGGATGGTGATTCTAGGCTAAAGCAAAAGCAGATCAATCATGGATGTCTGGGCAACACCTCGCTAGAGGTATCTTCTATCTTAGAAAAGGTGTGGTCCGACTTGAAGTCAGATGTCACACCCAAGAGAACTGCCTTCCAGACATCCCCACCATGTGCTCATTTGCTTCCCAACCTTCTTCCTACGCAGAGTCCAATTTGGGAAACCGAACACTCTCTCCAGCCTCGTCTCCCTGATGAAAAAGTTTTCCTCAGACTTTTCCGTCTGTTCAAATACGGCTGTAGCTCTTAACTGCGGAGCATGTTCCCTCTGAAAACACTCATTCGTGGTTTGGTCCTTCTCAACTCTGCCTGACACATGAGCCAGAGCAAAAATATCCCAGGATCAGAGTCCACTCTATGCCCTTTTGAGCTTCAAGGAGCGAGATGAAAGCTGAAAGCAATGGGGGTCGGGCCGCCCAGGACATGCTTCTTTATGCCTGACCTCCTGATGTGCTCACTAGATAAAACTCCCCTCCTTGCAACCAGCGAGCGAATGAGTACTATTTTATGGTTTACATCTGGGATTGGACAGCCATCAAGTCTCAGTGCCACTGTTTGAGATTTGGGACTGTTTCCTGAAACTGATCTCTGCTGGAGGTAAGGTTTATCCTGACCTCTGAGGCTGAAGCCCTGGTAACCATTAGATGCGGGATGATGCAAACTTCAGAGGCAACTGGTAAACGTAATAAAAAAAAAAAAAAAAACTCTCCGCAACCAGAAACTGGCTGTTCAGAGGCTTTCCATTGCTTTGATTAGAACGGCTTTTTCTTTCCTACAGTCCCTGCCATGAAAATGTGAATTACTTTTCTTGGCGAAGGAAATCACAATGGTTCTATGCCAAAAAGATGCTAGACGGCAAACAGAGATGTTGAAATGATATTGAAAGCTTTGTAAATTGTTTATGCAGAAACGTGACTAATGATCACGTTTGAATCGTCCTATCTTTCCTAAATAAGAAGATTTCATCACCAGATTTATACCCACCTGCTTTTCTCGCTTTTCTGCTTCTTCCAGAGATTTCTTTAGTGTCTTCGTTTCGCTGGTTACCAGTTCTATGATGTTCCTGGCCCTCTCTTTATCCTCTTTAGCCTCATGCTCTGTAGTATCCAGTTCTGACTTGACAGACATTAGCTTTTTCTCAGCTTTCTCCTTCATCTTCTCCAGTTTGTCTCTGGATTTATTTAGGTCCTCGATGGCTTTGGTCTGTTCCAAAGTTTTAATCTAAGAAGTCAAGAGAATGCTGATGATAATTTCTTTGGTATTTATTTAGGAAAACTATATAAAGACAAATCAGAAGTCAACGGAATTCACTTTATAACTTTTTTATGAATAAAGAATGGACTCCGTCCCAGTTACATGGACTTTGCCAAGACAGTTATTGTTTATAAACAACATATTGGAGTACCATTATTCGGAAAAACAATGAGATAAAAAGGTAGATAGTGTGATTCTGGAATTAAATATTAAAATAAAGTCTGCTGGTACTTACACACAGACTCTATGAGCTCCTTGGGCAAAAGCAACTTCCCTTTTTGCCTCCACCAAAGGATCACTGCTGGTTTAGAAATATTAGGAAGAGCGAAATGTCTCCTCTTCCAGTGTTTTACCACAAAGGAAGCCCCACCTAAAACTCCCTCGGCAAGTCTTCTTCACTGCTGTCAGGAAAATCTACATCAGCAACTTTTCAGAAGAAATGTCTTCTGACTTTACCACGGAGGATGGGAGGCAGGAGATAGCCACGCCTTCCACTGCAGGCTAGGGGAGAGGGGGTGTGCCTCTCTCTAAGAAGAAGTCCCAGGGCCTAAAAGCCAATTCACAGGCATCCTGGAGTATGAGGCACATTCTCTTCATTAGCTTAGTATTTTAAATTATAGCAGATCTGTTTACAAAAATAATTTGAGTAAAAAAGTGATGCAATTCTGATACATACTATGACATGGATGAACCTTGAAGACATTATACTAAATGAAGTGAGCTAGACACAAAAAGACAAATATTGTATGATTTCACTTATATGAGGTACCTAGAACTGGCTAATTCGTAAAGATAAAATGTAGAAGCTACCGGGAGCTGGGGGAATGAGGAGTTATTAGTTAATGGACACAGAGTTTCAGTTTAGGATGATGAAAAACTTCTGGAAATAGATAGTGGTGATGGTCACACAACACTGTGAATGTAGTTAACGCTGTTGAATTGTACATTTAAAAATGCTTAAAATGGTAAATTTTATGTTAGGTATATTTTACCACAATAAAAAAGAATTTGAGGTAGTTTTGCATAATTAGATACAAAAGTTTTCAACTGACCGTTAAAAACAAATATAAATGAGCTACCACTTAACATCACTGGGAGAGCTATAATCAAAAACACAGATAATAGTAAGTGTTGGTGAGATGTGGGGAAATTGGAACCCTCACGTACTGCCAGTGACAATATGAAATGATGCAGCTACTGTGAAAAACAATTAAACACAGAGTTGACATATGATCCAGCAATTTTTCTTTTAGGTATATATTCAAGAGACTGAAAAATTTATGTCCATGCAAAACCTATATACGAATGTTCACAGTATATTCATAATCACCAAAAAGTAAAAACAACCCACATATCCATCTACTGATGGTGCGAGATTATATGTATGCTTTCTTGGGAGTGGTTATGGTTTATTTCAAAGGTGTGTTAGCCTAGATGCACAGAAACAATGGAAGAGGCTTGCTTGAGGCAAAGATAAGCCTTTTACTAAAAAGTTATATGCCCAGGGCGTGACTACACACCACGGCCTGCCCAGCTAGGAATTTATGATCAGATCGCCCAGTGAGATTACTTTCCATCCAACCCCTTTTTTCATCCACACAGCCAGGACAAACAGTAAATATTTCTGGCATTATTGAACAACCTCAGGAACTTAAGGAGCATCCTCAGAAATGATGCAAAAGATACTATACGTGAAATGTTATTTCCCTCTTTCAACTATGCTCAGGAGATAATCTACTTATTTTTTAATTGAGGATTCTCCCTGGGTTTAAGAAATTCTTTAATTATAGCCCTTAGTTTGGCCTTTGAACAGGGAGTGAAGGATGCCTAGAGAGCATCGCCTATAGCCTCAAGTGGTATTATTTTTTTAAATAACTGTTTAATAGTCTCTTCGGAGCGAAAATGCAATTCACAGAGAGGATTACTAGAATAAGTAGTCAGATAAAGGAGGATAGAGGGGAAGAGTAGGAGGTACATTAGTCCTACAGTTTTTTTGTTTCGGGTACCTCATATCTTTAATTTTTAGTTAGCCTTTCGTAATGAATCTTTCGATACAGCTATTTTAGAATTTGGAAGCTGTTTGGAGGCTTTTGCCTCATAATTAACATAAGGATCCCATACTGTTTGTTTGATTTGGGAGCTCTTGCTTTTAAGTGCACTTCTTAAATGATCTTATCTATTTGGAATGTTCCCCACAAGGGCCATTGTAACTCTAAGCTATTTTTCATAAAATTTTGTCATTTTGCTACATATCCGCAGCTTCTGAGACTGTAGTTCTTAAACATAAAATATGCAGGTATGCTGTAGGGTGGTACATTCAACTTTTTAGATAGGAAGGATTCCATTCTTTTAGCTAGGGCTTTGCATTTCCTGGAGCCAAATGAATACCTAAGAGGGCCTCTCATAAGAATCTCCTTGAGATGGCAAAAGGTCCAACGACCTTTTAATGCATGCGTGGCCCATGCTCACCAATGTTTATGGCAATTTTGACCTCCAAGATTTCCATTAGCAACTAGCTTTTATTTATTCACTTGCAGCCTCCCACTGGATCCACTCCAGCTTAAATCAGTTGATCTCGTTGAATTTTGGATCAAATTCAGTTCTTAAATCAGAGCCAGTCCAATCTCAGTCCCAGTCCAGTTTTTATGCTAAACTTAGTCCAACTTTGGCCAGAGACCACCAACTCTCAATCAAGAATCTGGGGACTAGGGAAAGGACTAAACCAGCAAACACCCCAAAAAATGAAACTATGGACTGGTTCTCAAAAAAAATGGAGAATTCGATCTGGAAAACCAATTAGATTGGGGGCTGAACACAAAGAATGCAGAACTCAGAATCAAGAGAAACTTATCAACAGCCCTCAGAAGTGTAAAAAATAACTCAAAAGGGTTTGCAGATACCATGCCTGTGTTTCTTGTTGTTCTTATATATCAATTTTAAACTAACTTATCTCCCTTTAAAACAAAGAGATTCCCTCATTTGCATAGAAAATATATGTCAAACAGAGAAGTTACTGGGGTTGGTGCATTGAATTTAAATTTTGTATTAGCAGAAGAGGAGATACATTCAGCCCTTCTGCTCAGAATCAGAAAACATTTACAGTGGGCTCTCTATCAAAGGCGACAGAGCACAGCTTGGAGAGCTAGAAGCACACAAATGAAGTCTTAATGAGAAGAGTTTATAGCCAAGAATTTCTGAAAACATGAGACTATCACAATCCTAAGAGCTGTTTTCAAGGAGCAAGAGCAAGTAATGGAGCTCTGAGCCAAGCCACCGGGACAGAACTGGGAGCTGGTGGTGGTAACTGGTGGTGACAGTAGCCCTCTGCCTCCTAAATCAAACCTAACAAACAAGATTGCTGGGAGTGGGTGGAGCTAAACTGGTTTCTTATGCTCCTAAGAAAGAGTTCAGTGAGAGACTGTGCCCCTAATTTTTTTTCCAAGGAGACAGAACTGATCATTAACAAGACTGGTGTGCCACCTAGACCTCCGGGAGGATGGAGCAGGTTCCCGGTGCGCTTTACTTCTGATGGATGCCCTCTCTAGTGTCTGCCTCCTTAAGGGAAAGAATTTCAAAATCTGATGAACAATTCTCTCTCATGTCATAAGGGTCAAACACCCTGGAAGAGAAGGGGATTAAGTTTAAAATCTGACACGTTGAATCACCCAGAAGAATTAAATTCTCCAGCTGGAGGGTTTTCAAGAGGCTGTAATAAAAATGCAACCCTACAGGAGCCAGGATCCCTGAAGTGGGTGGGACAGCCCAGTGGGAGAGTCTCCTCATGGCCCACATAGATGCTGTGCTCCCTCTAAAGAGAACCATTAGGATTTAAGCAGGAAGAAAGCAGAGCAGAAATGAAAGGAATGTATTCAACTTGGCAGTCTGAGCACTCCTCCACTCCTTGACCACTCGACGCCACAGAAGGGTCCCCCTTAAACGTTCCGCTTGGTGCGTACGTTCAAAGTAAGGGCATCTCAGAACAATTCAAGGTCAATAGATCTACATAATCAGAGCTGAGTCTAAGAGGCTAGATTGCTGGTGGGGGGCGGAATATAAAGAAATACTGCACTGGCTGGGTTATAGAAAGTTCTGGAGTGGAGAAGGAGCATGGGGAGTGACTATCTTGTGTGAAGATTATCAAGAGAGTTAACAAGCAGGAAAAGTCTCTGCTAGCCCCTGAAGAACGGTATTCCCTTTCAATGTTTCCTTGAGAGATAACAATGAAGATCACAATGGCTTTCCATTAGTTTTTGGTTTTCTGACTTCTGATTCTTGGCCACAGATCCCTACTAACCCTGAGTCACATGGTACAGGCTAAAAGTTGATAGCTCTCCACCAAATATCTGTCCTCCCTTCCTTTCATACTGCCCAGAGTAAACATCCATTTTTCAGGCAGACTTTATCTAAGTGAGGACAAGGACTAAGTTCTAGCCAATGGAGACATATGAAGTGTTCTATCATTCCTGTAAAGTGGCCTAGAAGGTGTCCTGCCTTACCTCCACTTGGTGACTGAAATGAGGCTAGAGTCCCAGCAGCTAGCTTTCGCTAAGGGGTGGCGTTGACAATGAAAGTTACTGCTAGTATCATGAAGCAGAAAGACAGAACAAGCCAAGGGTGCTGGTGACCACAGAGCCATCTTACTAAGTAGAGAATGTCTATTTCCATGACTCTTTTCAGTGAGAAGGGAAGAAATATTCATTCTAAGCCACTATTATTTTGGGCTGTTCCAATATGTTCAGCTGAAGTTAATCATAACGAATGTAGGTTATGAAGCAAGTGGCATTATATGAATCATGCAAAGTATTTTTCAGATCCTCTGGATCTCTGCCACATGATTTCAGAGCCCGTGTTTGTGTTTGTGCATAAGGCTATGTTTGTGCCAATTAGTAGCACTACTTTAATTTTCCTGGGCTAATGAGAAAAGAGCAAAGGTAGAGTTAATACAAAAATAATGTGTTCATGCTAAG